CCCCCCCCCCCCACTCCCGGCCCAGCCTCGGGTCGGCCGCCCCGCCCCCGTGCCGGTGCCCACGCCGTGCCGACACCGCCGCCTCCGTCCCCTCCCCGCACCTGGAGGCCGCTCGGCCCGGCCCGAGCTGTTCCCGCCCCAGCGGCCCGGCCACGTCCCCGGCACCGCGGCCAGGTGCCTCGGATGAACGAGCCCGAGGCTGCGAAGCGAGCGCGTTTTACAGAGTTACCGGGATTGTTACTAGGATACAAAGTAACCTGTGACTCAGCCCCGCGGGACCTTGGCCAAGTCACTGCTCCCCAGGCCTCAGCCTTGGCCTCCGAGGTCCCTTGCAGCCGTTTGCCCCTTCGTGGGCTCCAGTCTCCTCTTCTGTAGAACGAAGGCCTACCGCCCCGTTGTTCGGGGCAGGTGGAGGGAGGCCAGGGGAGCATTTGGAAGGGCATAAAGTGAGGGTAGAGGCCAAAGGGGAGCCCACCCAGGCCTGAGTGACCCCAGGCTGCTTGCCCTGCACCCCCAAAACTTGCCCCTCCATCTTTAAACGAGTGATCGTGGACCCATTTCCCGAGGCCCCAGCAAAGCCAGATCAGCCCCTAGAGGGAGGGGGACCCAGAGCACACAGCTTTGTGTATGGAGGATCCCAAAGGCAGAGGGGGGGTGGGGGGGGTCGAGGGATGTGTTGTTGTTGTTTTTCCTTCTTCTGGAAGGGGACCGTGAGGTCAGCAAGGTGATGCCACGATTTGCAAGTGAAGTGGATCTAAGTGAGGCAGAGCTGTGCGAAGTCACCAGCCTCACTCCCTCCTCGAGAGCCGTCTGGGTCCCGTGGCGATACATTGGTCAGGATGACTAAAGATGGACCCGGGGTGGATAAACAGGTAGGTGGAGGGATGGAGGGATGGGGGGGGGATATTTTACTATTTTTCTCCAATATGTAGATGTTGTGGTCAATAAAGTACAAATTTATTAAAAGCAGTACAGAAATCACAGTTTTTTGTCACCATGGATTTTCTTCATCAGCACAGACTCTTCCGTAGTACAACTTTGACCTTGGGGAGGTCTCCTGAATATTTGAGGTTGACAAGGGGTCTTTATGCTCCCAAAAGTTGAGAACGCTGCCCTAAACAGGGTAGACAGAGGCAGCATGAGGAGGCAGAAAGAACCCCAGACTTCCTCAAGTCAGGGCACAAGCCTGGGCTAGTTGGATAGCTTGCCTGGGCCTCAGTTTCCTCCTCTATAAGAGGCTAATAACCCTTGTACCACCCACTAACAGCTCATCTGCCCAGTCCTTTACGGCCCACTTTATTCACCACAATGCCAGAAGGTAGGGACGGCAAGGCCCCAGGCCTGTACCAGCCTGGCCTTGGCCATCTGGCCTCTAGCCCCCCTCTCTAGTCAGCGCAGGGGCCTCCAGAGCCCCCAACCCCAACCCACACACCGTGAGGAGGAGGTGCCCATCTCAGTGCTGGAGTGAGCCCCGGGACAGGTTTGGGCATTAGCTCGTGAAGCTCTCAAAGGGCCTCCCCCTCCCCCCCTTCCCCTCTTCTTGTTCAAACATCAATAAGCAACCCCGTGCTATCCTCGGGACCAGAAAGAGTCGGGAGATCCTCCACCCTCTGGCTCTACTCAGAATCCCCATGATTCTGAATCATGGGAAGCCTGGGTTAAAGCTTCCTTTCCTGGTCTGATCAGGGCTCCCCCTTTATTAAGGATTACTAGGCGCTTGGCACTGTGCTGGGCATACAACTACAAGCAAATAGGACATTCCCTGCCTTCAGGGGCTTAAATCCTGAGGGAGAAAGACAGGACATCACCAGAGAATGAAAGGGGGGTAGAGAGAAATGGGTGGGGGTGGGAGGAATGGGGAGAGAGGGAAGAATATGGGGGGAGGGGAAAAGGAGGAGTGGGGGGAGGGGAAAAGGAGGAGTGAGGGGAGGGGAGAGGGAAGAATATGGGGGGAGAGTCAGTCCCATCTCTTCTGGGCTCCTCTCTGGCCCCACAGGACCTTTCCTAGTGCCAACCTTATGAAATCTCAGATCTCTAACTACAAACTGTCCTTCATATTAGACCTGTGCTTTCCCCAGCACTCTGGAAATACTTGGAACATATTTTCTGTTGAAATAGTCTTTGTATACTCAGTTCCTCCTCCCTCAGTAAAATGAGCTCCTGGAGGCCAGGGGTTGTTTCTTTTTTTGCCTCAGTGCTCCCAGGGTCTGGTGCTTAGTAGCCATTTAGCAAATCTTTGTTAAATTGAATTGCACAGCTGTCTGAGGATCATCGTGGCTGAGGGTCCAGAGACTCAACGCCAGGGAAAAGATGGAAGGTTGGTCATTTCCCTCTGTTCTGGAAGAGGACCACAATGACATCACTCTGTCAGAGTCAAGGCACAGCGTGTCCACCCGTGGCTGATCAGACCAAAACAAGCCCAGAAGGCTCTACCACAGGTGGGCACAAATGGTCCGTGTGAACTCTCCTCCCCATGTGGACTCTCTAAATTGGTGCATCTTTTGAGCTGCTTCAATGCTGCTTTGCTCATAGAGCACAGCCACTTCTCTGATGAGGGCACGCCACGCCGGGCTGTCCTGTGCCAGTGTCTCTCATGTCACACAAGCAGTTCCAAAGTTCTTGAGAGACACCCTGAGAGTGGCTTGTATCACCGCCGTGTGAACGCTTGCCATGTGTGAGTTCTCCATAAAAGTCTTTTTGGCAAGTGGATGTCTGGCATTCAAACAAGCCGGCCAGCCCGTCGGACTCGTGCTCTCTGCCATAGAGTTTAAATGCTCGGCACTTTAGCTTGAGAAAGGACCTCAGTCCTGCCAGTGATCTTCAGAGTCTTCCCAAGACAATTCAGACGGAAGCCATTCAGTTTCCTGAATCCAGGTTTCACAGGCACACAACAATGAGGTCAGCGCAACAGCTCTGCACACCTTCAGTTGATGGTCAGTGTAATACCTCTTCTGTCCCACGCCTTCCTTTGGAGCTTCCCAAAGGCTAGTCTTCCAAAAGCTGAGCTAGCTCTGGCAACACACACATATCAACCTTACTATCAATGTGTACATCCCTGGAAAATACACTACCAAGGTAAGTGGACTTATCCACAGCATTCAAAACTCCATTTGCTGTAACCGATGGTTCCATGTGTGTATGGTGTGGTGGCTGATGGAGCACCTGTGTTTTCTTGGTGTTAATTATCAGGCCAAAATTAGCACAAGCAGCAGAAAAACAATCCATACCTTGTTGCACCTTAGCCCCAGAGGCTGCATTGAGTGCACAATAGTCTGCAAACAAAAAATCATGCCCCAATACTCCCTCTACTTTAGTCTTAGCATGTAGCCTTTTCAAGTTTACCATCAGTGAGGCAGCTGACCTTGATACTGTGTTCATCTTCATTGAAGGCGTCTGACAACGTGACTGAAAACATCATGCTAAAAAGCATGGGAGCAAACACACAGCCTTGTTTCACTCCATCAGTGACCAGGAAAGCACGAGAGCATCATCCGTTATCCAGAACCCGGGTGAGCACAGTGTCATGAAACTAAGCGGAAAATGGGGGGGGGGGGCTCCCCTGAAACTGTCTGCTGAGATGTGAGGTGTGGGAGCCAGAACAGATTAAAAGCCTGCTGTGGGCAGGCGCTCCCTGTGCTGGGCAGTTGGAGACAAACAGCTGAAAAATACCAGTCTCCACCCTCAGAGAGCTTCCGTCGGAGTTGAGATGGGTGCTTAAAGGGTGTGAGTAGGACAAAGTAGGATCCTGACCAGGTTCTCAGAAATGTGAGGAGGGAGAGGACACTTTCAATTGGGGGAAATCAGGGAAGGCTTCCTGAAGGAGGTGGCCCCTGAACTGAGGTTTGAAAGGAGCTATACAGCTTGAAAGATGGAATGAGGAGGGAGTGGCATGCCAGGGGTAGATTGCCTTTGCAAATTCGCAGAGATGGGAGCCAGGAGGTAGAGTTCCAGAAACAGCTAGGCCAGTTTGACTGGACCACAAAAGAGAAGAGAGGGAGAGACAGAGACAGAGAAAGAGAGAGGGAGGGATGGAGGAAGAGAGAAGGAGGGAGAGAGAGAAAGAGAGAGAGAGAGAGAGAGAGAGAGAGAGAGTGTGTGTGTGTGTGTGTGTGTGTGTTGTGGGGGCAAAGTCTGGAAAAGTAGGTGGGAGCTATTAAAGGGGTTCAGATATATGTATTTTATCCCCTAAGACACTAAGGATGATGAACCTCTGGAGGTGTTTGAGGAGTGACAGGTCATATCTGGGATTTAGGAAGATTTTTGGCAGCTGAGAGAAAGAAGGGTGGGGAGAGATGGGAAGCCCAAGACCGATCAGGAGGTGGCAGTGCAGAACAGGGGGGCAGGTGGGTGGGGCAGGTAAGGGGGTGGGGGCAGGTGAGGGGGCCTGGGGGGGGGCGCGGCAGGGCAGGTGTGGCAAGAGGGGAGCCGGGGCAGGTGAGGGGGGTGGCCCAGGCTGTCCCTGTGCTTTCCTTCCTTCCAGGAGGGCGGGGCCTGCTGGGTGTCTCCCTGTGCCTGGCACACCAGAGGTACTTAACAAGTGCTTATTGGTGGAGTGCAGCTTAAGCCCACCTGCTCCACCTCACTGCCCTGCCCCTTCCCCCTCCCTCCTTCTCTGAGGCTCCTCCCAAGGACCCCCCCCAACACCTCCAGCCCACACCGCACAGTCAGACATCCCGAGGAGGGGAGGGGTGACAGGGAGCTGAGGGCCAGGCCCCAGTGACTCAGGCAGGCCTGGGGGAAGGGGGATGGTCAGCCACCCACCTTCCCACTAGCCAAGGGCCTCCTCTCCTCTCCAGGCTATAGGAGCCGTCTCTGAAATGCGTGTCTAGTGGTGCCAAGCTTTTCCAATCCATCCTTCCACACTTCAGAGAGCCCTGAACGCATTACTCCTCAAAATGCCTCCTGACCAGCATCTCTACTCCTCACCCTGACATTCAAGGTCCTGGGGCTCTTCTCACTCTTCCTCCACCCATCTGTCAGCCTCATCTCTCTCTACATCCCCCTTCACACGCTCTCTCTTTGGACCAGGCTGGGTGGTCCTCCCCACTCTGACCCTATTCTCCGCCCGCTCTCTCCCACCTCCATGCCTTTGCCCACATTGCCTCCCAGCTCTGTCCGCTGAGGTCTCTCCCTTCTCTCAAGGCCACCTCCTTCATGGAGCTATTTCAGCTAAAAGGAGCGTTTCCTCCTTCCTCCAGCTCTTCCTGGCCCTCAGCCTTGACCCAGCCTTTCAGGCCCCCTTCCCATCCCCGATGGACTGTAAACTCCCTGAGAGCAGGCACTTTGGGCCATCTGATGGGGTGCTTGGCTGCTTGCACTCAGATGCCACTTCCAAGATCGTATTTCTCCCTAGCCTCAAGGCACCATCCTTGACAGTTTCTCTCCAGCCCACGACCCTATCTCATGAGTAGGCCCAGTGAGGCAAACTGTCTGTCCCTGTTACAAGCACAAGCTGACCACTGTAGAATTTCCCTTGTACAAACAGGACCATCTTGTACCAGCAGAACTATCGGGTACTGATGCCCACAGTTACCGTATACAATCCAGAGGTCGAGCTATAGACGTCAACTCCCGAAGCTATCTTCTTGTACTCGTAACAGATAACAGACCAAAAATACACCCTTTAGGAACTCTCTCTTCCCCCACCCCCCCCCCCCCCCGCCCCGCCCCGTTTCAGTAGTGAATGACGTAGTTGTATGTTATCACCTAATTGGCATATTTGGCACATAATCCACTACTTTTCCTATATAAACTTTAGCATCATGCCTGTTAGGTCGCAAGTTCCCTAAGGAGCTTTGCCCACCATGGTAGAGTTCCTTCAGGACCTCTGCCCCCTGTATAGAGTAACAATAAATCTTTGCCACCTTGACTTAAAGAATGCTTGAGTTGGTGAATTCATTCCAGATGACCCTGTCCTGTACTGCGGTCTTTGAGGGGTCTCAACCTCTCAGACCTCAACACATCCACCCTTACCTTCTCAACACCAAGGCTGAGTCTCAGCCAGGGAAGGCCCTTCATAGAGGCTGGATGGAATCTGGCGGAATCAGCCTCCTGGAGGAGCTGGCCTAGAGACTGTCTCCCCTTCCTCCTTCCTCACCCAACATGCCACGAATCACTCTCTTACTGCAAGAAGTTGTTTTTTAATGACATATGCCTTTTGTCTTGACGCCAGCTTGACTTCCCTCCCCAGAAAGCCAGTCTTGACCCCAGGGCAGCAAAACCAATAGAATTGGACTGTCTCACCCTTCGCCCTCCACCCCCTCTATAGCAAGTGGATTTGACCAGAAATCCCCTTCTTTTGAAGAGGAGCGATGGGGTTACCTCCCCCAGGCTTGATGGGAAAGGCCTTCCTTGGCAGGCCTGGGGGCAGAACTGACTGACATCTTCCTCCCAATGAAGGTGAACGGTCCCAGGGTGCAACGGGCACCTTCGAAGGTGGTGAGCTCCCCGTCCCCCAGCCTGTTCGTCCTCCATTCTGAGGGTTGAGTCTGATCCAGGCCTGGGGAGGGGTCATCAAGTCAAAGCCCCATCAGAGGGGCCTGAGGTGGCATCTCCCCGCTGACACTCAACAGAATCATTGCAGGATCAGATGTTAACAGCCCTGGGGTTCAGAGACGGTTCTCCAAGTTACCCCGCCTACATGGGCCTCAGTTTCCCCTTCCAGCTCTAGATCCAAGGTCCTAGGATTTTGTTTTGTTTTGTATTCTGCTAGGGGGTGCCACAGTACATAGGGCACCAGGCTTGGAGTCAGTAAGACTCAAATTTCTGAGTTCAAATCCAGCCAGAGACACTTAACTAGCTGTGTGAGAGTCAATTAATCCAGCTTGCCTCAGTTCCTCATCTGTCAAATGAGCTGGAGAAGGAAATGGCAAACTGCTCCAGTATGCCAAGAAAACCTCCAATGGGGTCATGGAGGGTGGGACATGATGAAGCAACAACAATCCACGCCACTGGGAAGCCAAGAACAGGCTGTCTGGAGTTTTCTGAAATGCATGTGTGAAGTCTGTCCTAGTCAGGTGGTGAGCTCCCCAGCAAGCTGTTCAAGTGACACCTGCATGACCTCTTTTCTGGGAGGCTAGCAAGGTGATTCC